TGAGGATATCCTCATTTCTATGTTTATCATGCAGAGAAACTCCGAGCATAGCCCTCTCTATAGCTTGCTGATCGACCTTGAGCTTCTTCATCCGGCCAGCGAAGCCCTACTGTACAAGCACCTCAGTACTTCGATAAACCGACAACTTGGCATCGCTGAAGGGACTGCAGCACCGTCCAAATTTCGACGGAATCAAAGGCTTTCTCATAGTCCACATACGCCAGACATAGTCGCCATCCTCGCTCGGGGACTTACCGTTTTTAAGGTGCTGGAAAGCCATTCTATATCTCGCTCAGACTGACGTCTGGGATATCTTCGGAATAGTGTCGGATAAGACTCATTCTTGTATCGTTACTCACACTTGCGTGTGGTTTCAACGATGACGTGTACAGCTGCCCATAGAACCTCTCAATCTCACTCAAAATCTCAGTTGTCCCGGAAACGATGCTGCCACACTCGGTCTTCAGCTTTGACAGTTGGCTCTTCCTAACAGACAGATCTCTGGCAAAGACTTTGGAGCGTTGGTTCCGCTCGATCGCTTCTTCTAAAGAAGTATTGAAGTTGCGTAAGTCCCGCCGCATGCATTTGGAGATCTGTCTGTTCAGTTGCCTGTATGCTATCAAATCTGTTGAAGTCTGTAGTTTCATCTCCCTTCTAACAGCCATGAGATTAAGAGTGTGATCGGAGAGTTTTTGTGTTCTTTTGCGGCGGGTCTTGCAGAACCGTATGGACAGTTTCCACGAGCTTGTCATTCATATCGTCCACTGCATTGCAATCTTCTAGGCACTGGAAACGGTTTCGTAGCTCGAGCTGAAAGGTTTCGGGGCTTTGGATTAAAGCACGAGGGAGACGGAGCGTTGACTTCATTAGACGTGACCTCTCCAACTTAACGTTTAGGTTCAGTATACCTCTCACCATTCGGCGATCGCTGCCGGTTTTCACCCTCGCGATTACCGAGACATCACTGAACAGTTGTCGTCTGTTCATCATAATGAAGTCAATCTCATTTTTTGTCGAACCGTCGGGGCTCGACCAGGTCCACTTCCTGTGGGGCCGCTTCTGGAAGGAAGAGTACATCATAAAGAGTCCCTTTTTCTTCATGAAGTCGGCCAGTTGCTGGCCACTTGGGTTCCGTTGCCCTATTCCAAAATTCCCTAATTTCAGCTCACCGTTCCCTCTTGTGCCTAGTTTTGCGTTGAAGTCTCCCATTAACGCCGTAACGGTTTTGGAGGAATGCATGGCTCTAGAGATATCCTCATACATTTCCTCCACCTCCTCATCGGGGTGTGCCGAGCTACACGGGGATATATATATATATATATATATATATATATATATATATATATAAAATGCAGATGCGTAGTCACCCCTGAGGACCAAGATGGAATGCATCGTTTCCAGTAAAAAGGGTCTCCGGTTCTTTACACTGATCGTACGAAACACAGCAGCATTAAATGGTCCTTCCCCAGTCGAGCCGACCCATACGTGCTACCTATAATATAGCTGCAGCGTGGCTCTACCATCGCCTACTTTTTTATCGTCCACTTCTAGTTTGTGATTTTGTAAGGGACATTCGTATGACAAGCGAGAAAATGTGTCTGGAACATCACTAATGTTTATATTAATTACGAATATGAAATGTTACACGTGTAAAAACAACGTAATTAAGACCCATTTAAAAACGTGATAATGTATTTATTGTCACCTTATTTATATGAAATTTAAAACAGTTCCTCTCGACGGTTCATAAGTTAAGTAAATAGGATTTATCTTAGACACAAAGTTCAAAAACTTTATTAAACAAAATTTGTATGAGAAGGATTATTATAATATTCAAGAATTTATTGATGATAGTAACCACTGGGAATGAGGTAATCGCTACCAAGCAATTTTTAATTTGTTTTGTGTTGTTAATTGTGTAACATATATGATTTTAAACTGTTCGTTTTTCGAAAAAAAGGCCCGCAGAATTTTTTTTTCTTATTATAAGCCAGTGCTTGACCACAATCAAATTTCTTGCTGGTTCTTCGTCTCAGAGGTATTTTCTGAACCAGTTGTAATTAAACATAAGAATGACTTTCAGTACGTATAATTTATAATCTATATTGAATAAAACGTGGGAACTGTTGCCGGGGTATGGTGTGGATGGTCGATTGCTAAGGGCTGTGCAGTCTCTTTACTGTGACTGTAAAGCCTGTATGCGGGTAGGGCATGACCCATGTTTAGCGTCCAAACGGGCGTAAAACAGGGTTGTGTCATGTCTTCCTGGCTGTTCATACTGTATCTCGACAGCTGTTTACAAAAGCTGAAAGATAGCTGTATGGGTGTGAAATTGGGTGACATAAAAGTAAATTGTCTTAGAGGCAGAACTGCAGGCATTAGTCACGTGTATGAAAGAGGAATGTGAAATTAAAGGTCTCCGTTTGAACGCTAATAAAACTAAGGTTCTGGTATTTGAAAGGGACGAAGAGAGAACGAAGTGTGAAATATGGGTAAATCAGGAATGTCTAGAACAGGTAAATGAAATTGTATACTTGGGGAGTGCTTTTAGCCGGGATGGAAGATGTGATTTAGATGTGGACAGGCGTGTCGCTGCCGGGAACAAAGTCAATGGTGCCCTGACTGCGTTAGTCAAAAGGCAAGGCGTAGTGAAGAGTGCACGCCTTGCAATACATAACGCAGTGTTGGTACCGACTTTGTTATATGGCAGCGAAACCTGGGTATGCCAGAAGAAGCATAAAAGCAAGTTGAATGCAGTGGAGATGCGATCTCTTCGTAAAATGTACGGCGTTACCATGGCCGACCGAAAGCGAAACGAAGAGATTCGCAATATGGCAGATTTGAAAGTTGACCTTATCACAAAAATTGATAAGGGCGTGCTTCGGTGGTTTGGGCACGTTGAGCGAATGAGTGAAGACCGAATGGTGAAGAAAATATATAGCGCGAAAGTTAATATTAAAAGCTGTCGAGGTAGACTGAGACTAACTTTCGAAGACCATGTGCGCAAATTGCTCGAAGAGGGTAGGGTAAAGAGTACTCGGATACCTAGACGTGCATGTATGAAGAAGATAATGAATCTGAAAGAAGCGAAAGAGGTATGTAAGGATCGTGACACTTGGCGATCTGTTCTCTCTGGCTACCCCGTCAGGGATTGTGCGTGAAGATAAATCAAAATCAATAAAACGTGTCTATATCTATTTTTATTTCTGTGATGTGCCAAGTAAATAATTATTTAAAAATATTTTTAATCGTTACGGCTTAGCTTCTCTTAAAAGAAAACTATACAGGAAACTATTTATAGAGACTTATTAGGAATAGTGTAGACTTACTATTTAATATTACTACTATTACTTTTACGTTTATATACGAGCGCCAAGTAAGGACTGTTTTAAAAAGTTGGTACATGACTTTTTTTGAAACGAAGTGATGTTGGATGTTAAGAATGATGATGATATATTTTGACACATTTAGATGTTTTATTATTTGCAATTTCAATATATGTATTTTATTATTATATGTAGCGTATATATTATATCTATGTATGACACATATTTTGTTCATTAATTTACATATGTAAAATGTTTGTATATTACTCGTATATGTATATCGTAGTTTGTATAACTCAATGGTAGTATGTATGTATGTATGTATGTATGTATGTATATATATATGTGTATTTGCACCTGCCACAAAATCTCATCACTCCACGGGTTGACTGGCAGAGAATGCCGCTCGGCATTAAGTTCGCCCTTTGTTACCCTTGTTATTAAGGTGTCAACAAATAAGATTAAATAAATAAATAAATATTGACAGGTATTGGAGAGTAATGTTTTTCGATAGTATGTAGGTATGTCTATTTCTTTAGCACACTCTATAGTCTAAATAACTTAGTCGATATTAACATATGGTGTATTGTTAAATTCGTCTTCTTTGTGAAAGCGACATAGGATGTAAAACTATCATCATCAAAATAAAAAAAAATATTACGCAATTGGCTTTTCTTAATTATTGTATTAAACCTTTGGATTTTTTATTAAAAGAAATGGCAAGCGATCTCTGAGATCTATAAACATTTTATCTATCAAGGTAATGAATTTAAAAAAAAATATTGTACGGATTTTATCGCGTATAAGTTTTATTGATTAACACGGAAGACTACACATTGAATAAAACTACTTTTACGGATTTTATCGCGTTTAATTAACTTATTTTTTATTAATTCCCGACGTTCGGGTATTTAGTACCTCAGTCGCCCGTGACCATGGGTGCTGTAAAGTACCTGAAACGTCGGGAGCTAATAAAAAATAAGTTAATTAAATGCCATAGAATCCGTAAAAGTAGTTTTATTTAACACGGAATGGTTACGCTGCAGGCTGCAGCTATATTAAGATTGAAGACTGCTTCGTTGGATGAATGGTTGAAAGTGCCACTGCTATATTATTCCGGGTTTTCAATCTTAAGTCGGGACAAAATCAGTTATTATTTTTTTTTGTCAAGAAATTCTCAGTAGTAGCACGGAGTCGGGAAGTTGGCGGTGTTTGCAAGTTGCAAACAGTGTATTACGGATGTATTACGCGTCGACTCGACCGGGGAATGACCCGCCTTGCATTGAATAACGTGAAATAGCAACGTATGCAACTGTGTATCATGTGGTAAGAGTACACAGTCCACCTAATTAATGGTAAGTAGATGCTGGGTTCCAAAAAGAAAACCAGATGTAAATATCTATAATATTTACATCTGTTATTGATTAAGAATGAAAAATGCAGATGATTTATCACTCTGAGGGCTAAGATGAAATGCCTCGTTTCCATTGAAGAAGGTCTCCAGTTCTCTACACTCACCGTGCGAAATACAACAGCTTTAAGCTATTTGACGATAGTATTTTGTGAGAGCGTGGTCCTTCTCCGGTCGAGCTAACGCATTCGTGCAGCGACCATTATATAATTGCATCGTGAATCGTGTTTTGATGAGAATTGTTAATTTGAAAACTCTTTCGTTTGTTACAGAGAATCTCAATCGCTTGTCTCTTTCTATTCCTGTACACGCTAGTGCTCTGCATTCAAAATACGGATGCGCGGCCACCTTGGCTGGCACCGGCCAGTGGTGTGTTCACAGAGACGGCTGAATGTCATACTGATGTAAGTAAATGTTATCATTTTGATGTACTTGATCGTATGCGGGCGTAAGAGAATCAATCTTCCCATTCCAAAACGTCGTAAGAGGCATCTATGGGAAATGCCAGAAGAATCTTATGGCTGCTGATATAAGGCGGTATGTTCTTGATTGTTAGATGTAATATACGCCAACTGGTTACGGACTGTAGTATCAAAGGTGCTTAAAGGAAATGAAATGAAATAAAAAACTCTTTAATTTATTCGGATTACGTAGAAAAAGAATTGTCGTTTTTGTCTCTGTCTCACATATCACACGCAAACGGCCTTTTTATAAGTCAACCCCTGCTGGACAAAGACCGTTTTAAGAATGAGCTATTTTACAAGCATTGTTTGAAAAATTTATAAAGTTACCACGTGCTGGGCTTTGATGGAAAACATCGCGATGAAACCTGCATGTCTGAGGGATAAAATATTTATACGGGGTGGATGAAGTTATCACAGTAAATGAAAAGACTTATCCTATATAGCGTTCTTTGAACACACACAACTAAAAAAATATATAACAATTAAAATTCTAGTTCGCAATAGCCCCTTTTTCGTTTTTTGCCTAATTTTATATGAAAGGGAAAGTGTAGGTATATAATTACATATGTCGATGCCGCGTGAGCACTGCGTACTGCGCACATGTCACTTCTGGTCAGTAAATTAATATTATCAAGGTGATTTTATTTCGTGTCATTTTTACGCTATTTATTTTGTTTGAAAGATGCATTTTTTTATATTTGGTAGAATTGTTTATTTTATTATTTTAATCGACATATATAAACTTGTATATACCGCTGTGTCATTTAATGTGATAACCTAATCGCCACCCAGTATAGATAGAATATTTTGAGGGTATGTGAAGTGCGCCCACATGCACTGCAGCAACGAGGAAGACTAATCGCTCCACAATCCTTAATGAAACAAAACGCCGCAGTCGGAGGTATTAAGGAGCAACTATTTTAAATATTATAATAGCGATCCGCCCCGGCTTTGCACGGTTGATTTCTGTATCTCGACAACAGCACCACTTACTGGATCCATTTGTGAATGTAAAGCATCCAGAGACACATTCAAATACACAAAAAAAATCTTCAAAATCGGTGGAGCCGTTTTGAGTTTTAGCGAGACTAACGGACAGCAGTTGATTTTTATATATAGAGATTTAATTTAATTGTTACAACCAGTGCGTGCTGCTAGTGATACTATATCTATTTTAAATATGGTCCTTTACTGCTGACTGTATGAGGGAGATGGCTGTGCTATAAACCCTGATATAGGCTTATAAGTGAGGATATCCACAGTAGAAACAGAGAAACCGACAAAGTCCAATGGATTAGTATGCTAAAGTGGTAATGGGCCGGTTATATAGCTCGAAGAATCGATAACTGATGGAGACGAAAGGTTCTCGAGTCGCCTCATATAGATAAGCGAAATGTAGGGCGGCCCTCCACTAGATGGAATGACGACTTTGATATATATAGGAAGTCGATGGATGCAGGTGGCTCAGGACCATGCTTTGTGGCATCTTTGGGCGATGCCTATGTACAGCAGTCGAGTTGTGACGGGCTGTAATGATGATGATATTAAATTTTATATTATAATTAGCTGTTCCCCTCGACTTCGCCCGCGTGAAGTTATTTTTCGCGGAACCCTAAAATAAAAGCAGCCCAAGCTACTCCTTATAACATCAGCTATCTGCAAGTGTGTAAAAATATGGACAAATATTGACATTAATATTTATACGATACTAACGTCACTCAATTGTTTTGCCTTCCCGGAACCCCTCCATTAGCACTTAAACTTTATGGTATGGCATTAAAGTTCAAATTGACTTTTAAGTATTATTACGAATCTTTTGTATGGGAATATAGAAAAGTGTTGTTTTTAGACTTTTTCAGGCAATTTTTTAAATTTTTCTCTCCGTAAGAACCATCTTCGTACTTCAAGGAATATTATAAAAAAAAGAATTAGCGAAATCGGTTCAGCTGCTCTCGAGATTTGCGCTTACAAATACATTCAGCGATTCATTTTTATATTATAGATTATTTTTTTCCCTACAGGACGAGCTACTTGACCTCTGTGAGAGATGCGCCAAGCTCACGAAGTCACGCTTAGCGTACCCGGCGTGCTGTTCTACCGATCTCCAAGCGAGGAAATGGTGCTCGGACTACGTGTATTTCGGCCGGGGTCAATACGATTTTTATGTTTGAGGGACGTGTTGGGCATGTTTGGAGCTGACTTCACCCATAAAATTATTGAGTGTCTTTTTGTTTTAGAACTTTTAATTGCGTTTGTAAAAATATTTGCCAAAGAATTTTTAACTTTACTGCAATATGTACATGTTTTGTAAATATGTTAAGGTCTTTCGAATGTTTTGAAAGAAGCGAGGATAAATTTTACTTAATTATATACTTGATATACATATCTCGACGGATGAGTAAGCTGAAGCAATAGGCGGACCATATAGCTCGAAGAACCGACAACCGATGGGGAAAAAAGGTTCTCGAGTGGCGGTCTTGTATCGGCGGACGAAGTGTAGGGCGTTCCCCCAGTAGATGGAGTGACGACCTGGTAAGACGTGCAGGAAGTCGATGGATGCAGGCTCAGGACCGTGCTTTCTGGCATTCCTTGGCCTATATTCAGCAGTAGACTTGAGAAGGGCTGTAATGATGATGATGATGATAAACTTGATGTAATTGTATTGTGAAAACAAACTTCTTTTCGTGAAAAGTGTGTGTAAAATTATACAATAGTTATAGTAGTTATTAGTTATATAATATTTATTTTCATAGAAGGAGATGAAAATACATAATTGTGATATAATATTTGAAATTGGAATTGTAGCAATTGCAACGGTTTTTACTTTTTTTTAAAGTTCAAATTTTAGTTACAGATAAGTAATTATATTCATTGAAAAGGTTAAGCCATATCTATGCATGTTACCGTTATCTTTAATTATAGTAACACTGTGTTTGTATTCTATGATACTATAAGTTGGTAAAGTGGTTGCTGTGTTTCTAGTTAAAAGAAGTTATCAATGCGCCTGTCCAGCGTGAAAACTTTGACCAATATCCCTCAAAAATACATAAATAGCGTTCTATTAGATACGCCTTTATTCGAACTACAACCTTTTTTTATTTAATATAATATATTATATACAATAATCGTAATTATTAAAAGTAACACCTATGTTTAATTTACCACTGGTTCGGAAAACACCTCTATCCTTGGAAGACCCAGCAAGTTTTTTTTTAAACCAGCAGGACTTAAACACTTTACGATCACTAAAGTAACACGATAATTAACAATATGAAACAAATTCAAAATACATTGGTAGCGATCACCTCATACAGAAGTAAGCTTTTGATATTCTAAAAATGAATGAATGAATGAAAAATGGTATTAGGTGGAAAATTGTATGTCTTGGCATTTTGTGGGTGAATTGTTTAATGCCTCCCATCAAAGTTATGGCTGTGATATTTTTATTATTAATTAAGTCGATGTGTTTTGGACGGATTCGTTAAAAATAAAATTATTTCTGTTTATCATTTTGTTTTTCTTCCCTTCCATCCTACCGTACGTTGGCGGCTTAAGAATTCCATTACACTATCTGTTTCGCGCGAGGCGTCTATAGGGGAATCCCCGAAACCTTTTTGGCTTCCGATTGATGGTGATTATAACTATTTCGTTTATAGCAATGTATTATACGTAGAAAGCGATAGGCTGTTGTGTCAAAGATACTAGACGTCGAGCAGTGCGATCGTCAAGCGTGACGATTATGTCGAATATTTTCCAACAGCAGTAGAGCCCATGTCCAGTATTGGACTTTTTTTATTAACATTTGAAGTGACAAATTAACTTACAATCCATTTGATGTTTAGTGGCTAGTGGCTAGTGGCTACTATTGGGATAAATGGGTGAAGTCCATGTCTAGCAGACTTCCAGTGGACTTTCACAGGTTGTTGATGACGACGTTGATATAATGATCTCATCTGGTTGTGATGCGACCTGGCCAGATGAGAATACTGTAGGCATTTTAGATTATCGGTATTTACAATAACTAAGCGCTTAGCCTTAACTTAGGCACTTAAGGCTCGTAGCCTGCTGTAACTAATTAAAATACTGCTTCGTTGATCTAGTAATCGTAAACGCGGTTACCGATCATGAGGTCCTGGGTTCAAATCCCAGTTCGGGCCAAAATCAGATGTTGGGTATTTCCGTCAAGAAATTCTCCGTTAAGACTAGCTGCCCTGACCGAAACTTGGTCTGGAGGACATTATTATTTTTATGTGGTATCTATAAAGTTTTCTCATCTGGTTGGGCAATATAAATATATAATTGCAAATAAACATGGTAAACGTACATAAATATCAATAAAATAAAATAAATACATAAAAAATACACAAATATATAAAAACCCAACTAGATAGAAGCCCTCGGCAAGGGAGACCAAACGGCCGAGGGTTAGGGCGAAAGGGAAAGAAACCGGCGGACGATGCGGGCGGTATCGAGGAGCACCGCCTTCTGCATTTGAGCATGAAGCGGTCCGTCACGGAGTCCCAGTCGCCTCAGATGACCCGAGAGGCTGACTGGGATTAACCCGTTCGCAGAGCCGACTACAGGTATAATTTCGGCCGGCAATCCACACCACATGTCGGTCACCTCGTGAGCCACGTCCAGATATTTTGTCAGCTTATCTGTTTTGGCTTTCACGAGGTTCTCGTCATAAGGAATGGTAATGTCGACCAAAAATATCCTTGACTGTGCCCGGTCCATCAGCACAATATCAGGCTTATTCGCAAGAATAGTCCTGTCTGTGATGATGGCCCGGTCCCAGTAGAGCCTGGCGCGGTCATTTTTGAGCACGGCTTCCGGCAAGTACTTATAATACGGCAGTTTCCGATCCACAAGACCGTATTTCAGAGGGAGCTCCTGGTGTAGAATCCTGGCTACTAAGTTGAGCCTGTGCAAATACTCCGAGTAAGAAAGCGCCGAACAACCGGAAATGACATGCCTAAGTGACTCACCGGGATGGCGACAAGCTCGACATATGTCGACGGTGCCATCCTTTAGGATATATCTCCGATAATTGTTGGTCTTAATAACCTAATCCTGTATCGCAGAGACAAAACCCTCGGTTTCCCTAAAGAGGTCACCGAAACGTAGCAAGTGGAGGGAGGCGACTGTGTCTACGAAAGGCTCATGTAGAGCCTTGTAGAACCTCTCGTGGAGCTCCTTCTCCTTCCATACGGTCTCCCGGTCGGAAATGCTCTGTACTGCCGGGTCTTGCCATTGCTCGTTGGCTAAGGATAGAGGGGTAAGTCCTTTATCACTAGAAATAACGTCCCTATAGTATGGATCATCCGCTCTCGTCAGAAAGTAATTAAGAAGGCTGCACACTTCGCGATTAAAAAGCCGCGTCCACCATGCTTCCGCGGCAAGTACAGCCTCATTACTGACGATCTCGGATGATGCATCCTGTCGGACGTCATAATAGTGCGGACTTTTCTGTCCAGAGCGTTCAATTCGGTCTCAGTCCACCTGAGTATGCCAAAGGTTTACATGAGAACAGGCATGATCCAACTGTTATATGCGTGCGTCTTATTCACACGAGACAAAATGCTGTTAAGCACTTTGGTCAAGCGTGCATAAAACACATCGCAAACTGACTGTTTCATACCCGCCTCATCTACACCGATGTTCCGTGACATACCCAGGTATCGGTATGTTTCAGCCTCGGAAAGGGTCCTTATGTTGATGGCATAGAGGCTCTGAGGGCATAGATAAGTCTATGCCCTCAGAGTTAGCAACCCTTCCCCTTTCAACATGGAGGACCGCACACGCACACTTATCCGTCCTTAGCTCCATTCTAATAGAACTACTAAAATCACAAGTCATGTTTAGCAGATCCATAAGATGGGAGCGACTGGAGGCAAATAACTTGAGATCATCCATATAGAAAAGGTGGGTCACTTTTGTCCCTCCTTTCCGAAGCTGAAATCCCCTCCCTGAGTCCTCCAGTAAGGTATTGAGAGGGTTCAGGGAGAGGCAAAACCAGATTGGACTCAAACAATCGCCCTGGAAGATACCCCTTCTTATCCTTATGCGGCTTTCCGCATCCGTCTTCCGCTCACCTAGATGACAAAGGACTGTACAACTTCCGTCCAAGGGCCCTCGCTGTGGTTTACGGGCTCTGACCACAGTCCGCGCCAGAGTGCGACAGTGTCGGCCTGATTCGGTGCTGAGCCCATTCCACGTACCATTGGCCGCTCCAATGATTCATAGAGCCTCTTCTGATCACTCTGGAAGAGACGATTCTGGTTGAACCGTGTCAACCTCTCGGTATATCGCCGAATTTGCTTCCCCCAAGCAGCGATTCTCTGCTTCAAGTCGTCTATGCGCTCCGTCAGTTTTTGCGTTATATCCGGCTGGGACAAACTGATATTTGTCCCAGCAAACGCCATCCTGACGGTACGCACAATTCTCGGCCTATTATTGCCCGACCTGAAGCTTATCAGTCTGCCGATGACGGCCCTTGCCTTTGAGATGCGGTCCTCAATCCGTCTTCTCCAGACTGGGATAGCGCTACTTTGCCTAGTAGCGCGTCCAGCCGTGGGAAGTTTGGCACCAATAATACGGCAAACTGCGAGTGCGGCGCCAAAGAGAATTGAGTCCGTCCGTAAAGGTCCCGGCTGGCTTTCAAATAGGTCACCAGCATTGGGTTGAGAGCCCTCACGACAGCCCGATTCCGCTTGCTTAAGGGTATGCGGGGAAGTCGCGGTCTATTTTCGAGAGGCATACTGCGCGTTTCCAAAATAACCTCCTCCAATGTACTCCTCATTTGCTCTAGTTCTAGTTCCTGGGCGACTGTTCCATCATCGTCTGAACCAACCACAACTGAAAGATTCACGGCGGCATCCACGTGTGCTGGTTGCTCTGCAACTTGTGGCGCCGCATCCTCAGCTGTAGCATTTTCATTCGATGAGGGTATAGCCTCACGTCGTAGCCGTTCGAGTTCGGTGCTCTCAAATATGTTTGAGTGCAAGATATACCGAACTCGGTCTGCCAGGTTTTGCTCGGTGACGATTATAGATGGCTCCAGCTCAGCAAAAAGTCGGTGCATCCTAGCCCGATACGCAAAACCTCCAATTTATCCCCCCTTCACCCTAAAATATGCCCGAAATGCGTTGATGTTCATCTTCATTGACCA